CACACACACACACACACACACACACACACACACACACACACATCCAGAGTATTAAAATGCTATTAATACAGAGAATTTAACACAGGGTACCTTATCATTCAGTCCCATGCGGTAGAAGACCTTGCGAAGGTGATCTGCCGGAGATGGAGGAGCAGCATCTGCAAGGAATGAAGACAGGCCAACCAATTTCTTCAGTGATGTTCGCTGTCAACGACCACAAGGTAACCAAGCAACCAAGCCGACATGTAATCCTCAGGCTGAAAATCCAACCAAAAGAAATGACCATTCTCTTGCTTTTCCATCTCGGCCACAGTGTTTACGTAAGTTAAGCCAACAAATTTCACGTCCTCGATGATGTAATGCCACTTCTTTTGCATCACCACAATTTACCACTAGCTCATCGGCAACCCACTCTCACCAGCGATTGTTCTCTTCAATTAATAGGGTCATATAGTTGCCCCATGAAACAATCAAATCTATCACACACACACACACACACACACACACACACACACACACACACACACACACACACACACACACACACACGAAAAAACGAACAAAGGCATGTCTGTGGGAGACTGCTAGGACTTTCAGAGATTCAGCGGGAGGTTGAAGCTCGGCAGTTGGTTCAAGAGACGCGTTTGGCTGGTGGACTTTACTCACACTGGCCCTACAACCCGACCGTCTTCACCGCCGAATAGAATGCCCGGTCATTATAGCCAAATCTGGAATGAAAGTTGCCCCAAATACAGCTACAATGACCGGGCGTTCTATTCGGATGAAGACGGTAGCTGATTCTCTAGTTCACACCCCTGACAAGAAGGGGTCACTATGGCCCGAAAAAAAAAACAGTCAGTCAGATCGCGCCCTGTACCCCTCTCCTCCAATTGTGAGTTGACAGAACTCTGCACTTTTTTTTTCTTTTTTTTAAAAAAAAAAGAAAAAAAAAAGAACTTTACGGTTCTGGCTCCTTTCCCTTCTAGGGAAGCATCACTCTGGTGCCTATGCCACCGGCAAGTCAGAAAGAGATTACAAAAGATACTCCCACACGCTCCTCCCGAATACGGTTGAGAAGCCCGAGTGGACGGCATTGAATACTTCCCGAGGGAAGGATATACCACCCCTATACCACCCCTATACCACCCCTATACCACCCCTCACCCCTGCCTAAGTAGGCCTGCATGTCTTACTCTTGTTGAAGTTGGAGGCGGTGGTAGTCTAGATTCCACTGTCTCTGTTTGTGATTTGTAACATACCTGTGGGACCCCTGCCTGCACGCATAGCTTCTTCCTCTCAGCAACCTGGCTATTGGATCAGCATTGGGTGCTGGAGTTGCAACCTTGTTTTTTTTTTTTTTTAAGTTGTGACTCTTTTGATCTGAGCCCTGTAAATCTTGCTAAAACCCTAATATACCCTGTCAGGCCTCCCCTGATGACCCTTTTTTAATCTGAATCGTGAGAAAGTAAAGGGTTTTTTTAACTTTTTTAGCAATATTTGCAGGGCTCCGCAAACCCTAAACGTTGCTAAAAGCCTAAAACCCTATTCCCTGATGACCCTTTTTATTATTATCTGAAGTGTGAGAAGTAGGATTTGGGGAATAGGTAGAGAGGTTGTTGTGACTGACTGACAAAAAATGAAGGAGTAAAGATTTAAAGGAGGATGTCCACTGGTTGATGTGTGGCTATTAGTATTGATTGAGAGGAAGTGGGGATAAGACTGGGGTAGAGATTTAAAGGGGGTGAGTACTAAGTAGACAGTTGAATCTGGAAATCAAAGTCCCTGGAGTTTGTTCCTTCTACCGTCTTCACCCGAATAGAACACCCGGTCATTATCGCTGCATCTGGACCGAAAGGTGTGCCAAATACAGCTATAATGACCGGGGGTTCTATTCGCGTAAAGACGGTAGGAGGGTCTGCGTACTCGAAGCCCTACACCCTAGCGTCGTTTTCTGCGAGTGCTGTCTGGTCTGATGGCGCTACTTGGTTTTTTTTTTTTTTTTTTTTTTTTTTTTTTTTTTTTTTTTTTAAGCACACCCACACAGCTCCTTGCATTCTGGGGTGCACCAGTCCGGTTACTCTTCCCCGGCAAGCGAGAACAACCAATACACAGTTGATGGACTCAAGTCTTAATCGTCCGGAAATAGAGCGCCCAGTAGCGGATGGCAACCGGGAGACTCCCATTGGTACCCATTCGATGCCTTCCGCACCCTTCAGCCACTCCCCTTAGCGGTGCTACTTGGGGGGTTTTGTGGCAGGAGGCTAGGGGCTATGGGTAGAGGGGGTTATGAGACGGGGGGTAATCATACGGTGGGTGGGATATGAGAGTGGATGTGGGTCGGTGGGGGTTGTTCGGGAGCTTGGCTGCGGCGGAAAGGGTTACGGGATTCTTTCAGGGGGATGGAAGGTGGAGGGGTGGAGAGGTGGGGTGGGGGGGTGAGTGGTTTACTGATGGGCTGATTAGTGGATTTGTGATAACTGGGCGTTGCGTGCTGGGCTCAGTTGTGCTGGCGACGGAACTCTGCGCTGTTGGCCTTTCACTCAGTGGCAATTTCCAGGAGCGGTTGTTGTCCGATCCGCGCGTGTTTTCTTGATTTTTCCAACAAAAAAAAAGTTAAAAGAGCAATTCAGTGTTCCATCCAAACTTGTCTGACATCATCCAACTTTACCGACACATGTACAATTATACTGTACATAAGCAGGGCGCTAGCCAGACTTCTGAGGCTTCTGCTTTGACATGCACCAATATTCATAACCTAAGGAGCGCTAGCTATGAAGAATTTCGGAGTTAAATAAAAACTGATTGAAAAATGTTCTGTCTCTGTATGTGTGTGTCCGTGTCTTAGTATATCCCGACACGTACCTGGGAGATTTCCATCGGGGGCACAGAACTCTGGAGAGCTGGCATCCAATCGGCCATACCTCATCGGGATCTTAGGCCCCCCGGCAACCTGCAGCAAGTGCAACAAGTTCAACGACAGTTTGTCAGTAGCAGACAAACAAAGACAAACAGATACAAACAGCAACAAACAGACACAAACAGCAACAAACAGACACAAACAGCAACAAACAGACACAGACAGACACAGACAGACAAAGACAGACATAAACAGCGACATACAGACACAAACAGAGACAGACCGAGACAGACGGACACAGACAGAGACAGACAGAGGCAAACAAATGCAGACGGAGACAGGGAGACAGACAGAGAGACAGACGGAGGCAGACGAAGACAGACGGAGACAGACGGAGACAGACGGAGACAGACGGAGACAGACGGAGACAGACGGAGACAGACGGAGACAGAGACAGACAGAGGCAAGCAGAGGCAAAAAAAGACAAGCTGAGACAAGGGGGAGGGGGAGTTGCTGACAAGGAGAGGAGGGGAGGG